TTTATTATGTGTATATATATATATATATATATATATATATATAAATACACACAAATACAGTATATATTTTGAATATATTTACATGTATATATTTATATTATATATAAATATATTTAAAATATAAAAATAAAATTTTTCTTAAATATATACATGCATGTGTGTATATATACATAAATAAACACAGTACACACACACATATGTAAACAAAAACTTTTATTTTGGATGCGATTAATCGTTTGACAACACTAATATATATATATTTGAACTATTTCTGGTTAAAAATGAAAGGCCACTTAAAGCGGGAAGCATCACAATTCAAATCATGAGTCAAAGCAACAAAAGTCAATCTCCACAGTTTAGGAAATGCAGGCAACCTCTTTTAAGTTATTCTTGACTGCGCTGTATTGACTGCTTTGATGCGTGGTAGGGCGTCGTTTTGATGCATACAGCCGAAAAAGATTTCTTTTTTTTTTCTCTTGAGTGTTTAGTTTGTAATACATAAGCTAAAAAAATCTAAAATCTATATTCACACAATCTTTTATTATCTATAATAGACATTAATGTCTGTAATAACAGTTCAGATGGCAAACATCATGAAGCAACCTTCTAATCAGGAAGTAAAATAGTACATATTAAAAGTACTTTCAGCCAATGAAATCATTTTGTGATCCTAGATGAGCTCAGTTCGGCTCAGAGGGTGCAGCTTACACTGTGCAAACAAACATAATTTTACAATTCACTTCACTTATTACAAGTTTTAAATTCCATATTACATTATAACATATTTATCAATAATCTGAAGGCAAACAAAACGATCTGCGAGTAAAAATGCGCTTTAATAATTCCAGACATATAAAACATCCAGTGTTGTGTGAAATAATGAAGAAAACCATCAGCTGCTTGACATCAGTGGAGACCAGGCACCCACTGAACCCAAATAAACCCAAATCAGAGCCACATCTAACAGTACATCTGAACATGCAGAGACACCTCATGGCTGTCATCATCCATTTCCTCTCCCTCTTATTGAATGCGGCTCTCACAGGCTGCACATCGTTTATCTCAGCAGCCCGAACCAGATGGCAGTGGAAAATCTCATAAAAACGCACAGTCCTTCAGTGGACTGCATGTATGCCTTTCAAATGTATGTCAAGCTTCCAGTCCTGTCCCATTACAGCTCTTAGTGTTAATAAACTCTTTGACTGCTAAACAGTGAGAGCCCAGCATTCACTGTTTGATCATATTTGTGCCACTGGTGATTGCTATTGTTTATGGATACACAGGTGTGCTGTAAACCTGCTTTTTAGTGAATGAAATCCTGAGTAAACAGCTTTAAATTATGGTGCTAATAGATTTGTGGTCTGTAAGAAAACATTTTTCAGCATTGATAGTGATTAGAAATTTCTCCTCGGCATCAAATCAGCATATTAGAATGATTTCTGAAGGATCGTGTGACACTGAAGAATGGAGTAATGGCTACAGAAAATTCAGCTTTGCCATAAAAATATACAAGAGTTATTTTAAATTTCATAATATTTCGCAATACTACTGTTTTGCTGTATTTGCGATTAAATAAATTCAGCCTAAGTGAGCATAAGAGACTTCTTTCAAAAGCATTTTAAAAATCTTATTGACCCCAAACTTCTTACAATATACATTTTAAATAATATAAAGTATATTTAAAATAAAATATATTAAAGGGGTCATATGATGCGATTTCAAGTTTTCTGTCTTTGGAGTGTTAGAAGCTGTTTGTGCATATATAAGATCCGTAAAGTTGCAAAGACTAACGTCTCAAACCCAAAGAGATATTCTTTATAAAAGTTAAGACTCATCCACGCCTTCCTAAAACGCCTCATTTAAACACGCCTCCACATATCTACATCACTGTGTTGGAAGATTTGCATAACACCGCCCAAATGTTTATGCAAGGAAAGAAGGCGTAACTTTTATTTTCGCTGTAGTATTGTTGCTGCCGCCGCCATGTCGTGGAGACGCTGTGTGTTTCCAATTATGGTAATGGGTGTTACATTTCCGTCACAAGCTCGGGCCGGCCAATCACAACGCACTGGATAGCTGGTCAATCAGAGCACACCTCACTTTTCAGACAGATGAGTTTTGTAAAAATCGACGCGTTTCAGAAAGGCGGGGCAGAGAGGAGCAACAATAATGTACGGTATGTGGAAAATAATCTGTTTTTTGAACCTCAAGCCTCATACACACCGGGACGATTATCATGTGCGCTTATCGCCGACGTTTTTCGACGCATCTTTTGTGTTCATATCCAAGCGATTTTCGCAGGCGATGAGCCGAGTGAACGTGCAAATTCACTCCCTGACATTAGATGGCGTTTAATGAAAAACAGAAATACCCCGGTACACATCGAATCCTATTTGATCTGCAATTCCTCTCCATAACAACTCCCTCTTATCGAGATTTTTGTAGTCGCTGTAGCGTTTGTCATAAAGCTCTTTGTGTTCAGACACCAATGAGACCAGCAGCTCTACATTCATCTTGCCTCGATGCATCTTCTTGGTCTACTTACTTCCTCTTCGTCCTTAGGTATCAAAAGCGCCAATCTCATTGGTCGGCCAGTTTTTAACGCGGCGCATCAAACCAAAAAAACGAGCCCGAGGCGTTTTTTAAAAAATGACTATTTTACGCCTCGCATTTTGAATTTTTGTGTTGCATGTTTTCCATGCTGTCAGGATTTCTCTAGTCTTCAAAAATTATTCACAAACCTACAGTGAACAGACAAATGAAAGTAGATATCTAAGCCATTTTATACCTTGTATCTCTTTTTGCAGCCAGGCACGGGACATGCGAACGGTTTCTCATCACCGCCGTTCATGCACATGGAACTGAGGATGGATTCAGAGCTAATGGCACTTTCGGTGGTCCACGACTCGTCACTGTCAGACTCTTCGTATTCTGCTTCCTCCTCATCATACTCGCTGCCTGAGAGTACAGAACAAATAATCATTTAGTAATTGATCATGTTATGACCAGTGTTGGGAGTAACGCATTACAAAAGTAATAATATTACAGTAGTATATTACGTTTTGCTGTAACGCAGTAATATACATCAAACCTTTCAGATAATTAACCACTACACCACTAGAACAACAAAACAGCATTTCCCATCAGCCACCGCAGCAGACACACAATAGCTTTAAGGAAAACTGGTACAGTTATCTTTCTCACAGTACTGAGCCCAGCCAGCAAAGAGTTTGCGTTTTATTAGAAAGAATCTGGAAGGCATAAGAAGGTCTAAGGGTTAATGCACAGTAATAGTATGATACATGCAATTTGGAGACTATTTAGTTTCTGTTCCAAACCCACACAAATAAAATGCTTAAAACATTTAATTGTGGGAGAGAGAGCACATGTTGCTCTAGAGAGGGCCATGGGAAACTGCAGCGATGAAAAAAACAAACAGTGTGACTCACAATGTGATTACTGGATTATCGATTACAACAGAACATCAAACAAGCACTGCAGGTTTAATGGAGTTATTACCAAAATTCATCTTTCTAGGAAACATAATAAGCATACAGTGAGTTCCTAAAGAAGTACCTGTGGGGGTGCTGCTCCTGAATGAAGACGAGGGCGTGATGGGCGGAGTCACGGGCGGGGTCAGGTTGCCGCTGTTGTGGCGAGGGGGCGTGGCCACGCAGTTGCGTGAAAGGCTGCCCGTCAGTGAGAGTGACAGCTTTGGCTGAACTTTCTTCTTCAGAGACTCGTGCTCCCGCCGTGCTGCATCTGTCATAAACCTAGAGAGGGAAGTGAACTTTAGTAGATGAAGTTCTTAAACTGATTTACAACAAATTATAGCAAACTCAAAACAAAGACTTATTGCTTATTGGGAAGCCCAAACGTGTAAAGTAACAGTCATAAACTAAAATACTCTAAATCAGTACATTTGCCATCACACTTTCTGAGCAATTAATTTCCATGACTTTTCTAGCTGTTTGTTATTACTGGATACAACAACAAAAAATTTAGAAAGACTGTGAACACAAAGACTTTCCAGTCGATTAAATTTACTCACTACAAAAAGCTACTTGATGTTTCTGGGACAAAACAAAATTCCAGCCCTTTATCTGTCCACTCTAACTGAAAGAAAAATACCTTGATAAGATACAGTCTCAGTGAGCACAATGTAGCAATGAAAATGAGCTGGTAAAGGAATACATGGCTGTTAAAGGAAAAACCCTGTGGCAACTAAATGAAGTGCATTTGCACATGTATTACACACACAACAGGTTCTACAAAACCCATGGAAAATACTTTAACCTAGTGCTGTTTTTTAGGATTCTGATGGTTTCACGGTTTATCACGGTTTTTCCCTGACTGTGCCTGTGAATCAGAATGCATGAAACCCTGTATTTTAATCACGATCCAATCAAACATGTTACATGTAGCATGAGCAGTTTTTGATGTTAATTAGATTGTATAATTTCAAAATCTGCAGCCAAAACAGAATGGTCTGACCTTAGCTTTGTGAAATTATCCTACATGAAACATGCCAGCTCCAAACAAAAACAGCAGACGGGCTGAATGACAACGCAGATTCACTATCTGACAGCAGGTGTCGCTTATGTAACAGCAGCGATACAGCGTCTTCATTGGTTACTGCTGTAAACAAAGTAGTGCTGCGCTTTTAAATACCACATTACTATGCATTATATGGAGGTAAGATGAAAAGAAAGTTCCCCTCAGAGATACATTTCTATAAACCCCCACCCCCAATTCAGAATAGAATTTTGTTCCAATGTTTTGCGCATGGTGTAGTGAGTTTGCTCTGCCTGCTACAGCATTTTCTCCTCTTTGCATTCCTCTTCAGCATCTCTGGCCTCTTTTAATGGCCGCTTACAGTTAGTTTATTTACCCAGTTAAAGAATTAGTTGTGTGTAATTAATATTTCTCCAACCATAAGTCAGAAGTGTATGCAATTAACATTGCATCCACTCTCAATTCACAACACTGTCTACATTGCTTAGCCACTTCTACCTTTATGCCCAGTTTGCAAAAAATGCATACAGCGTGCATAATTCAAACCGGTTTACCATTTGAACCGGTATATCGTCCAGCACTACTTTAACCAACACATAAGCCTATATATCAAACTTTGACAGAATGCAAAAAAGCTAAATTCTTCAACCTACTTGAAGAACTCAGGTTAATCATCATATTTTTACACTAATATATTATATTAATACAGTCATTTACCTTTTCTTTTTTTTTCTTTTTTTTTCTCAATAAATAAATCAGCCAAGAACTTGAGTATTAGGAGTGGAAAGGTGAGCAATGATTTTTTTGTTGGTGTTGATCAATGTACACCGCTGTTTAAAAGCTTGCAGTCAGTAGGGTTTTTAAGACATTTATAGTGTTATTAAGATTTCCATCTCAAATTAATGCAGTTTTTAAAATTTTCTATTTCACAAAGAATCCTAAAAAAGGTTTCATGGTTTCCACAAAAATTAAACAGCATCAACATTGATGATAAGACCATATTGGCGTATTATGTAATATAATATTTCACAATATTACCATGTACAACAGCAGAATGTTTTTCATGTATTTTTGATCAAATAAATGCAGCCTTGTTGGGCATCAGAGGCTTCTTTCAACAACATAAAAAAAAATGCTACAGATCCCAAACTTTTGAATGGTAGTGTACATGTATCAAATAGGAGGTTAAAGCTGGTTCAACTTTATTAAACATGTCTCAAGACACCTGCGTTTTGTTCCTTTCTATCAGTTGCACTCCATCTATCTGTTTCTGAATGCAAGAATTATGTGAGTACATCCCCCAATTCTCTTCAAACAAAGAGTGAAGTGCATGCACAATTGATGTCCCAAATTGAACCATTGTAACCATAAAGTAAAAATTTGCTTTTAGTTCTCAAATACCGTGCCAAACTGCTACTACTTCCTGCAATACAAATGAACCATCTGTCATAAGTCTATCTGTTATGATTCAGCAGCTTCAGTGAGGTCTAATCCACCTTACAACAATGCATTCACTCCAGCTTATTATTTTGTTGCATTATAAAACTGTCAGTAAATGTATGTAATAAAGCATAAATGTTCACACAGACATTATTAAAGATGGTGTGGAATTAACAGATTACCAGCAGAAGCCACATAAAGCAGTAAGAGATGGACAAAAGTGTCTCCTCTTTGTTAAGCAACAATTTCCACCACCATTCTGCCTATTAAAGCTGTTTAACACTGGAACTGCTTTCTGTCTCTAAGTTTGGAGTATTCCTACACAAACCACATTCAACAGAGTGAAATTGAGTGTATATGATGACTTGGGCGCTGGTTTGAAGTTCATTACAGCTTCATAAACTGACCAGATCCCTAAGAGGATGTAGAGGAGGACTTGACCACACGGCTGTTTTCCAAAAACTACAGAATCCCATTAAGGAAAATGCTGGACTGCTCTCAGATTCATTTTTGTCATTTGGTTACTTTTGTACAGTTTCAAGATTGAAAAACCAAACAGTCACTGGTCCCCATTGACTTCCATAGTATTGGGGGGAAAAAATATTATGGATGTCAACGGGGACCAGAAACGCACATTGGTTACACACATTCTTCAAAATAGCACAAGAAAGAATCTCACAGGTATGAAACAACTTGAGGGTGAATAAATTATGACAGAATTTTCATTTTTGGTGAACTATCCCTTTATTGTTTACCATGCCATATTATTATGTTTTTATCTTTATGTTTGCATTTTGTTTTTAATACATCGTGGTGGTGAGCCAAAAGCAATTTACATTGTGGACAATAAAGCAAACAAAACTAAACAAACTGAAATTAAATTTGACATCTGCCAAAAAGGACACCTGCTTCGCCGCTTAACAGTAAACAGGAGTGTAAAATTCCTATTATCATTTTTTTTTTTTTTTTTAAGTAAATGCTGTGGAAAATACAAATATTTTTATTTCTGAAATAAATAAACAATACATAATACATTCACACACATATTGATGACCTAGATCTCTCTCTCTCTCTCTATACAATCAATAAAAACATTTGTACATAATACCACAAAATTTAAAATCATAATTTATCACACCATAAAATCTGAATATCTCAGGACTCGTGTACCTGTTAATGTAGCTGAGGGCGACATATGTGGGCTGCTGCAGTTCCTGTTTCTCCAACACACGAGGATCTGTATCTAAACAAAACAGAGATGAATAATTCACTGGACTGACAAAGACACCACAACACACCACAAAAGAACAACCAAGAGCATTTTGAGGCTTTAAGGGTTTCTGTAGTATAACAATAAACTCTAAACAACATTCACAAAAAGAATATATAGCTAAAACTCTTTGGGTGACAGCAGTGTTGTTTACCTGTTTAAATCTGCGTCACCCCAGAGAGTCATTTTGTGGCATCAGAGTCAGTGAGTTTGTAGAAGCTTATGTGTCATTGCCAGAGTGAAGCAATTAATCACTTTATTGTTAAAGTCATTGACTTTCAAACTCAATACTAGATTCTGCCACACAACAAGTCCACAATCACTTGCAGATGGCAATTAACTCCATTAATCAAGTTTTTTTCATTAAACTCTACTTAGTGGCAGAATAAATCAGCACTTCTGCATGGGAGAGAGATCGGACTGGGCTATGGAGAGCGTATCCAATAGCTGTTTGGTAAAACTTAAGACAGCCATTTGGTTAGTGTCACACCACACCACACTGAAGGAGCTCTCTGCCATTCCTCCCAGATGTGCTCATTTTCTAGGCAGGGCCACCCAGATCACCCTCCAACTGGATCCAAATGCCCGCACGCCAGGGCAAAGATGGTTTTATGTCTGGTTTTCAGTTGTGCATATTAACGAGTCGACATCAAAAATAAAGATATCTGTTTTGAGGCTGTTCTGTCAAAACTGCTTCTGCTTCTATGTGGTCAATGCTGTCACGAAGCTGCACCACTGTGGACTACGCTGCCACCTAGTGGCGAATGTATATATATATATATATATATATATATATATATATATAT